CGGCAGGCAGGCAGGCCACCGAGCCTTCCCGCCCCCAGGGACCTTTCACGCCTCTGGCTGCTCCCATGTCACCTGTGGCCCTCATCCCCTGCCTTTAGCCCCGCCCCAGGCTCAGGTGTGTGCTCACGTAGGCCCCCACCCACGCTCCAGGTGTCCAGTCGGGCGTGTGTGCCCCGCGCCCATGCGCCTGCTGCCGCAACATGATCAAGGCCACAGGTGATGGCCGCGGAGGCCGGTGACACAAAAGCCTGATTCATTACCCTACAATGGGCCACGGGAAATTTCCAGCTCCATCTGCTGGACCATCTCCCAGGAGCAGTCACCCAGTGACACCCCGCCAAGCCCTCGGGTGGGGGGCCTTGTCCTGGGGGCCCTGGTCTATCCGGGACTCTGCTCTGAATGCGGCTGACCTGCCAGTGTAGACCAGCTGTGTCTTAACGACGCAGCCTCACACTGAGACGCGGCCTCTGCTCGGGGGGCCTGTGCCCCTCTTCCTTCGGGTCTCGGGCCTCTGCCCCTCTGCCCGTCAGCGTGCGGGCGTCCAGTCCAGAGGGCCCCGTGGTGACTCTGACGGGGACAGGCATCCTCCAGAGAGCTATTTGGGGCAAAGTCACGTCTTTATGAAGTCCACGTCTGAGTGCGAGCAGACTTCCCGCCCATGATTTGGGGCCCCTGGCCTTGCACGTGCGGGTTTTCTGTGAACCAGTTTTACACGTGAGAGCCTCTTAGATTCGTTCCACAGCGCCTCACAGAGGCTTTTTCTATTACATTTTTGCTATTGACATTTGGAGGTCAATTTTATTACACTCCCCTTGCTAAACGCCTATTTTTCTAATCATGTGTATAGGCTTTTGTGTTATCTCTGCAAGAATAATATCGTCTGCAAATAGTGACAAATTTCCCTCTTTTTCTATCATAAGCTATTGATTCCCTTTTCCAGCCAATGTTAAAAAGCAGCATGGAAACATCAATATCTTTGTCTCATTGCTGAGTTTGAAGTGGATACATCCATGTTCCATCGCTACAATGACTTGCATATTTTTAGGTACCTTTTAGCAGGTTAAGAACGTTCACTGTGACCCCTAGTTTAGTAAGAAACTTTAATTTTTCACATGAATCATTAACTTTATCAGATGCCTTTTCAACATCCACTGAAATGATTTTCTCTAAAACCAATGACAATTTTCAAATTTTCTAAGAATAAATCTTTCTTGCATTTTGCAGACAGTTCCTGGGTATTGATATTATCATTTTAAACACTCTGGGGTTCAGTTTGCGGACCTGAAACTTGCTCTGTCCCACCGTGGTTTAGCTTTGGCTCCCAGGTCGTATCCGACTCCTAAAATGGGCAAAGAACACTCCTCTCATTTCAAGTAATTTTCTGTGAACCTGGTCATCGCAATAAGCAAGAGGGGATTCATAGAGAAATGGGAGGGGAGTTTTATAAGTTATTAAGGTATGAAAAGGCATCCATTTTATGAAATGTGACTCTTTCAATGTTTCTCAACCCTGGCTGCAAATTAGAATCACCCAGAGATCTTTTTTAAAAGTCCCTGTGACAGGCGCACACAGGCCAATTAGGTGAGAATCTCTGGCTTTGGGTCCAGCCACTGTGTCTATTAAAATTCCCTGGCAAGTCCTGGCGCACAAGGTCTGGGAACCCCTCCTGGGAAGCAGCCACAGCTCCCCGCCTAGTCCAGGCCGTCCATTCAGGACCACCTGATGCAGGTGATCGTCGAGGCATCACCCCAGGGAGAACCTGGACCTTCCATGAGGTAACCAAGGTGTTGATCTCAGCACCAACAACACCGCGTCACCGCTCAGGGAAATCTGCACAGCCCCAAGAAAGTTCTACGGAGCCCGTGAGCAGGGCCTGGGCACGGCTGCCAGGAGCTGCCTGAACATAGGCTGCGCAGACAAGCCGCAGAGAGCCAGGTTCGCTGCTCTGTGTTGAAGCAGCGCTTGTTCTCCTGGCTTTTCCAGTTTCCCCCTCTAGCCTGTTCGAAAAGCATGGGAATTTCTCATGTGAAAAGAAAAAAACACGAAAGCTAATGCTTACATAGTAGCTGCTTGTTTTTAAGGTCCTTTCTTCGCCAGAAGGAAAAGCCCACGTCCTCAGCCCCGATGTCTGGGGGAGTGTGGGTGTGGGGCGTTCGGAGCCCAGGACGAAGATGTCAAGTTGGGGCAGAACCGGGAGCTGGACGCTCAGGTCCTGCAGGGGACGCTCCCACCTTGTGAGGCCCAGAGGGGGCCTTGCCTTCCCCGTGAGCCCAGCGCCCCCCATCCAGGCAAGTGGCTCCCCCAGCTTCACCTGTCATGGACAGACAGATGCAACAGAACCACCTCAGCTATTCAAGAGTGAAGTTTCCAGCAAAGCACCTTTTGGTTCAAAAGCCGCCCCAGCAAATGTTCACTGCCAAAGAGTATATGTTCTCGCTTTGGGGGAGTCCATTAAGCTACGGGGCGTCCCAGGGCCGAGGACCCCCAGTATGGGCCGCCGTGCTGCTAGGGCGAGCCAGAGGGAGGAGCTGTGAGGACAGGTCCTTGGGAGCCAGCAGGGGGACCAGAGGTGGAACACGCCAGCAGGGTGGGGTGAGACGCCCTCGCGGAGTCCCTGCAGATGAGGACGGCCCTGGAGACCGGAGCGGGCCCTGCTCCCAGCTCTGCAGAAAGCAGCCCCAGCCGCAGGCAGGCTGAGGGTCTCTGGGCCCACTGACCCTCTGAGGCCACCGTCGTCCCCTTACAGGTGAGGCGCAGGGGGCATGGAAGTGGGGACACATCCTCAAATTCACTGTACCCCATGTGCACCCCTGGGCCCGCGCTCAAACCCACGCACCTCCAGGATTCCACCTGCGGGCACTGCCACCCTGCTTCCCCACCCCACCACCTGCACACCTGGCCCCTACCCTCTCTCCTCTCCCGCCAGCACCTCTCCAAGCCTCTTCTGAAGGCCGGCACTGACATCCGACCCCCCCCCCCCCCAGCCTCGGCCCATGCCATCCAAACAGCCACAGGCGGTTCTGTAGCCCCTGCCCCGGCCGCCTGCCCCTGCTCGGAACCGCTGCCTGGCTCCCCGGGACTGCAGCTCACATGTCGTTCTCAGAAGACTCTTCCCCAGAGCTCCTTGGGTGGGACGCAGCTTGGGGACGGCGGCGCCAGCTGCCCTTCTGGGGCGGGACCCATGGAGCTCATCCAGGCGCTGAACTGAGCGCAGAAACAGGCTTGGTTGTTTGAACTCAGTTTCCCCCTCGCGTGGTAGCCCCAGGGTGGCAAGCCCCGTGGCTTGAGGCTCTCCAGCCCGGCCCTGCCCACCTGGCCCACATTCAGACATCCCTCCCAGCAGCTCCTAAGAGCTCCCGAAATGCGTGGGGCGCTCTCCACCCCGGCCTGCCGGCCCCCAGTGAATCTTCACTCCGTCTGGGTCGGCTCTGCCATTCTCTCGTGTTCTCCCCGCACGCTGTCCTCTGCCGCCCGTATAGCCTCACCCTCCAGGCCCAGGTGCGCCCACCCACGCAGGCCCACCTCACACCCAGGTGTCCACCATCAGGCTGCGAGCCCCGTCCAGCTTCCCAGCGCCTCCCGCGTTCAAGGCCTCAGGTGACTCCAGAAGCCAGCGGCGCAGAGGCCTGAGCGTCTTCACTTACCGGAACACGGAACATCTTCATTTTCACAGATGCTTCTGGAGGCCTGGCTGCTCCGAAGATGCCAGGAGCCCCTGCAAGGTGCAGGCAGCGGAAAGGGCCGTGCCAGCGCCCAGTCCTAAGGGAAAGGTCCCCGGAGCCTGGCTCCAGTTGCTGCCTTCACTTGAACATCAAAAACTGGGTCAAACAAACAATTCCAGGCCTCCGGAGCTGCTCTTTCTAATGCGCCTGTCTGTCCCGGGCACCCCCAGCACTTGGGGCCGGGAGGCCAGTGGCCTGCACCCAGCTGCCAGAAGAACCACCGGGCCCACACCGAGCCCACCGGATCCCCTGGGGGAAGGCCGCTCAGGTGATTCTAGTGGGCGGCTGCGCTGGAGACCCGCTGGGTTGGGTAATCATTGGGGGAACTAGTTTAATGACGTACCAGCTGGAATTCAGGGGGTTTCATTGAAGGGGTGTTCAGGAGTGGAGCGGAGCCCTGCAGGGAGCGGGATGCATTTTGGAGACATTGGTCGAATGCAAGAGGGGGAGGCGTGGCCGGCTCCCAGCACACGGTCACCAGGTGAGGGTCTAGGCGCCGGGCTCCCAGGGGCAGGTGCTGGAGCAGCAGCACGGTGCAGAGCTGCGCGTGGGCTGCCCAGCAGGGCCTCCCCCCAGCTCCTGGGCACATGGCGGCGACGCGGGGTGTCCTGGAAGCTGCAGTCTTTCTTTCTGAGGCACCACAGGATTCAACTCTGTGACCTCGCACCCTCTCAGGTGAGAAAATCCTGTCGTGGTTGTGTTAAGAGAATGAGCATCTCTTTTTTCCCCTGGAAATTTATGAATGAAGTGATAGAATGTCTTGGGTCTGCTTTAAAATCGTCTGGGGCACGTGTGTGCCTGGGCCTACGTGCGTGTCTGCAGGCGGGCCGGGGGCGCGGGGACACAGACTTAACCAGGTTGCTTGTGGGGCGGTGGGAGCTGGGCTGCGTGAGGCTCACGGCCCCATTCTCCCCACTTCCATATGCTGAAAGTGTGTTCCTACAAAAATCCTGAATCAATCAAAAGCCCGAGGGTGACGGAACTCAGAGCGAAGGATGAACAGCCGCGCTCCGCCCGCGAGGGGCAGGAGTGGGGTGAGAAGGCGCCTGGCGGGGCCAGCCTTGGGCCGGCGCGCTGGACTCTAAGCAGAAATCCGGGAGGTGGGGGAGGGGGACGCGCGAGGCGCGGGGCCCGCTAGTCTGCTGTCGTCTGCTCCGGTGTTCACGGACACGTCGACCCAAGGCCGGATCATCCTTTTGCCGGAGACCGCAGCGGCGGAGGAGCCCCTGGGGCTGAGCGCGGCCGATGAGCGCTCACCCCTGACGCCCGCTGGCCACAGGGATGTCTTCTTTGGGAAAATGTCTATTTAGGGTCCTTTGCCCATTTTTCATGGGATATTTGGTTCCTTGCTATCGCGCCAGGTCCTGACGTGCTGGATTTGAAGCCCTCGTCAGATACTGGGGTTTAGGTGTTTTCTCCCGCCCCAAGGGTCACCTTTTCATCTTGCTGACTTGCTGAGGTTTTTGATTTGATGCTTGATTTTATTTTGGCTTTTGTTACCTTTGCTTTTGATGTCAAATCTAGAAAGCCGCCCAGGCTGACAGGGAGTTGGCTGCGGTTTCCTTTCGCCTCACGGTTTCGGGGCTTACACACGTGTCGTCATCCTTCGGGGCTCGTTTCTGTGTCGGGTGTGAGAGTCACGCCTCATCCCTGCGCCTGCGGCAACGCCATCTCCCCGAGACCATTTCATGAGACTTTGCTTCCCTCGGGAGCACCTTGGCTTGCCGAAAGCCCCGCCAGCTGAGATGCAAAAGCCCCACGGGCATGTCCTCTGCACTGGCCCCAAAGCAGGCCGGTCCTCCTGCCTCCCAAGGCGAAACGTGAGCCTCGCACAGGTGTCTCATGAATAACTCTTTATTTAAACTTTCCAAGGATCCCAAACCCCATTTAAAAATTAAAATTGCAAAGCACCCCTGTAAAAGCAGAACACCCTCAGCATTAGTATCCCACGTCAAGAGACAGCTCTTCCTCGAGAAAGCGCGTTTCTCCCTTTCCCACAAGGCACAGAAGTCCGCGGAGGCCCCGCGTGGAGCCCCCCACCGCCCGCCGCGCAGCTGACCATGACAGCAAGCGGTATGTTTCCCGACGACTCACAGGAGTTATAGATTCTCTCTATAAACAAAGACCGATATAGGCAATAACAGAAGGGACCTGAAAGCTTCTGCCAGGAGCAGGCCCTCGACGGCCAGGCCCAGCCCGGGGACGGCACGACCAGCGTCCCCAGCACGAGTGCCTGCCCCGCCCGCCGCTCTAAGACACGTCCTGTGAGGCCAGGGCCCTGCGTCTGGCTCTGGACACCAGGATGGCTTGGCCTCACCGGGCCGGCGTGGCTGGGTCCCTGCCCGGGCTGGCATCCGGCTCAGCCTCGTGCAGGGCCTGCTCCTCCCCGGTCCCGGCGTCAGCCGTGCTCCCGTCGGCCGGCTCAGGCGCTTCCTTCTTCTTTTCGGCTAGCGCCTCGAGCCCCATCATCCTGAGGTAGTGGAACCGCTCATTCTTGGGCACAAAGGTCCGGACAGAGGCCTTTCCCCGCCATCCGCACATCACGATGGGGCACTGGAGGGTGTCGGGCTGCCTGCGACAGACGCCCTGGTGAGCCCCCGCCCCTAGACGTCCACGCGAGCACCTCGAATGGACGTCAGCCCCTCCCTGGTCTCCCCTTTGCAGACAGCACCTGCTCAGCTCAAACCCCAGCAGCCGCTGCAGCTGCGCCCGCCCTCCGGCCACAACCCCCACCAGGCACAGCCTGCGGGCCACCCAGGGTGCTCCACCCCTGCTCTGCCCTCGGACAATGGGGCTGCTCCTCCCAGGAGGCCCGGGTGGGCATGGTCACCTGCTGGCTGTCCCTGACCCCCAGGTGGGCACCTGTCCCCCTATCCAGCAGGGCACCCCACAGCGGGGTGGAGGCCAGCCCCCTTTGGTGGCCCAGCGCTGCACTCCTGCCCAGGCGGGAAGCAGAACCAGGTCTCCAAGCTCCGTAGGGCAGGAACTGGGCATTTCCGGCTCTGGCCGGCTGGGCCTAGTGGTATTTCACAACCACTGCGCGAACAGCACTCCAGCCCTGCGCCCTTCCCCAGAATGCTCCCAGGGCGCCCGCAACCCGCAGGGCGCCACTCACGTGGGGTCCGGCTCATACTTCAGGACGATGCTGCCCTTCGCTGGAAGAAAAGCAGATGCGCGTTTGCCAGGCCCCACCTGTGCCGAGCCGCCCTCACGCACCCCAGGAAGGGAGCCCGCACGTAGCACTGGGGTGGGGAGGAGCCTGGGGCCGGTGCCCAGTGATCTGCCCAGGGCAGGACAGAGCGTCCAGGGGCTCAGGGGTGCCACGCAGCAAGGGCCTCGGCCGCGGGGGTGGACCAGCGACAGGCTGATTCTCAAAGTCAAGATTCAAGGAACAGGCTCCGTAAACCCCAGACAGCAAGAGCGAGGAACTGTCAGAGGTGCCGCAACCATCCAAGTGTAGGATTTGGCGGCAAAGCTGAGGAGTCGCAGTCACAGGTCCCTGCCCTGAGGCTGACGGCCACGCACATCATGCCCGAGAGGCGGCAGGAGCGCGGGCAAAGGCGAGGGAGCCCGCCCACTCGGCTGCAGGCACAGGCTTGCCAGGTTCCTGCCCGCCCAGCCCAGAGCACACGGATGAGACCGAAACGAAGCTCCTGGCGGGAGACTCATGTTGCCAGGGTGGCCCGACCTCGTGGGGTGACCCAGTGGGGATCATGAGACCCATGGCCCGCGTGGCTGGCTAGGAGCCCCGAGGGGTGGCTGGGGGAGCACGGAAGCCCCAATGGCCAAGCCGTGCAGGCTCAGCAGCGAGCCCGAACTGCCCCAGGCCGGGCTGTGGCCACCAGAGGTGCAAGACCCTCAGTGTGCTCAGGGCCCGGGGTCCTTGGGAGTGGCCACAGGCAGCAGGGGAGACCCGGGGCCAGAGGTGCCTGCGGACGAGGGAGGGAGGCCGGGCTGCACGCGGGGCTACTCACCCAGGTCCTTCACCTGGCTGAACGTCTCACTGCTCAGTTTTCTGAAGAACGGGTTCTCTTGGGTTAACAGAACTTTCACGTCTTCCATGGTGACGGTGACGATTCTCGAGTTGATGAACGGGTACAGAGTATAGATTCCCTGCGCAGACAAAGAAAAGGTCGGCATTAGGAGGTCGACTGCCGCCCCACCCGGACCCCGACACACCCCACCAGCCAGCCCTGGCGGCTGCGAGCCCCCGCCCCTCCCGCCGGGCCTGGCTGCAGTCACCTCCTGGGCCAGGCGGAAGGCACAGTCGAACTCCTCGCCGCTGCTGTTCCGGCACCAGACTTTTATCCCCGTGTTAATAACCTGGAGCAAGCGCCGGAGGACACGTGAGTCAGAGTCTGTGCCGGGGGGTCCAGGGGGAGGGGACGGGGACACATGAGACCCTCTGCAAGACCCTTGCTAAACTGGGTCCCGGCCCGTGGGGGAAAGGGTTTTGGTTCAAGCGGCTCCCAAGCGGTGACTCCGACCGGGCACCCCGAGCACCTGCCGGCCCCTACCAGAGCCGGGAGGAGCCAAGAGAAAGAGGCGGGACAGCGAAACAGTAGACGCGGGGCCCCGAGCAGCACCTCGACCCTCCCGGGGTCCCGTACCCAAGAGGACGCCCACCCCGTGCACGGAGGGGCGGGAAGGATGGGTGCTCAGCCTGCACCAGCCCGCGCAGGCGGGGCCCAGCGCACCTTCATCCGCTCGCTGTTGTTCAGCAGCACATTCCTCAGCTCCTTGGACACCATGTACAGCTGCCTCTTCTTGCCCTCCGCGGTCCGGGTCAGCAAGTTCGTCTTTGGGAACGAGGGATCCAGAGCGTAGAACTTCCTGCGCACCAGGCAGTGCGTTACATGCCCCACCCAGAGCGTGGCCCTGGCGGCCCAGCGCCCTGTGGCAGCCCCCTCCCCGCCGGGGCAGGGGCTGGAACAGGAACAGCCCCTCCCGCAGCTGCCGAACGCCCCCCGCCCCCATCAGCAGGCAGAGCCAGTCACCCACACGCCAGCAGGTGACTGGGGGGCAGGCAGGCGCCAGCGCTCCAGGACCAGCACCTGAGCACCCTCTCCTCCACCTCCGTCCTGCCCGGAGCCGAGGCCACGGCCTGGCCTACGATCTGAGGGCTCCTGGGTCCTGCCCGCAGTCGGGCAGCTCCCGTGGGACTGCGGCTCAGATTCACATGCAGCTCAGGAGAGAACCCCCAAAGCGCCCCAGCTCCAGCACGCAGCTAAACCAACCAAAAGCCGCAGCTGCAGAGCCCCCCTCCCGGCTGCAGTGCGCGTACTGAATGGGCGGGAACAGGGGGTCGTCCTCGGGAATAAACACAAACGGGTCTTCCTTAAATCCGAACAGCCTCATTTTCTTAGATGGCGGAGGGCTAGGAGGGAATCGGGGTGCAGTAACGTTAGGCACCGGGAGCTGAGCCCGTGTGCTGATGCCCCCCGCCCTGGCAGGTGATGCTGGCACCAGGACTCACCCGCACACGCCATCCTTCCGGTTTCCGTTACTCTCTGTGTCCTCGGTTCTTTCGGTCACGTCAGCGTCCAGCTGGGCGGCTGGCTGGCCATCAGGCGCCGAGGTGGGGGCAGCGCTTCCTTCTGTGGCCTCCGCTGTGCTGGGCGGCCGGGGGGCTCTGGACTCCGCAGACTCGCTGGGCGGCTGTCAGGGGAGCAAGCTCACTTGGGCTCCGCAGTCGACTGGGCATGGCTAGCACCCCACAAACACTTGCCCACCATTGACCACTCGTGAGGACACTCGCCTGCGAGATGTCCCCCACCAGCACCGCACGCCGTCCACTGCACAAAAGCCGTGGGCACCGCCTCCCCCAGGCTAAAGCCCCGGCCAAGGACTTGCAGGCTGTTCCTCAGCAGCGCCCCAGCCTGAGCGGGCCTTGATTCAGGACGAGAGCGGGGGATGTGTGGGGACGCAGCTGCACTAGCGCGGCCCCTGACGCCAGCAAGGGCTAAAGAGACAGTGCAGTGCTGCACCCTGCCCCGCAGTGACCCTCAGGGCTAATGGCTGTTGCCATGGTCCCTGAGGTCCGGCGTGGGCAAGGAACCATGCGCGCAGGGGGAGAACAGCAAACTCCCTGAGATGCAGAGAAGCCGAATGCCTGCCAAGAGATAACGACCACCAGACGCCGCCACAAAGATGGTTAAAAGAAATGCTGACCACCTGGAACCTTATCTCGCTTTCTCAAGGCCCACAAACTTTATTCTGCTACAACTGTCTCTCTAAAATCTTTCCTTTTTCTGGTCATTGATTGCTAATTAAAAAACATACGTAATTTAATAATTAGGCTAATGCAAATGAAACATTACTAAACACTGTGTAATAATAGAATTGTTAGTTTAATAATCTCTCTATTATGTGCTTGACTTTAGTACCTATGATATTAACTGCACTATAAAATAAATTCACCCATGACAATTAATTATGAGTAAAAATGAGTAGGTAATAGTGATAGTTAGTGCAACTAGAAAATAATTATATAGAACAGTAGAAAGAATTTATAGCCTGTCCAATTAGGAATGAGGCTAGGTCCAGATGTCACTTCGGACATAAATCACTGCCCTGTCAATTAAGCTAAGCCTATGAGCAAACCGATCTCTTTGATGTTCACTGTTCCTATGCCTTTAGAAAAACATATATATATACTGACCACTAGCTTAATAAAGGCGCATTCAGATTTACACTCTCTCTTGAAGTGTGTCTGTTTGTCATTTCTTTAGCCGAATCCCTGACCACCCTGCGCAGTCTCTCAACCCTGAGACGGCCTCATCGTCTACTGCTGTGCTGGTCCGCGGCAGCGCAGAGACAGTGCGTGGTCAGGAGGGCTGTTCCAGGGCACCCAGCGGAGCGGCCAGAGAGAAGACGAGGAGCCAGACAGAGCACCCCCTGGGCTGAGGGATCCTGCCAAACACACCTCAGAAGCTGGGACGGGACACGCAGGCCCTGCGGAGCTCCTGTACAAGGAGACACCCCGCAACAGCGCCCGGGCCGGAACTGGACAGCTCGCCTCCAGACGGAGGCAAAGTCCAGCAGGTAACGCCAGGAGAGGACTCCCAGGCCCGGGTCTGGAAATTCGGCTGGACGGCCAAGGCTCCGCCGACCAAGCTGGTGGTGGCGGGTGTAGACCGCTCGCCCAGACAGCAGGCCGGGCCTGGCCTGCCGGACTCCCGGCTCTTGTACCGTAGGCCCTGACAGTGCATCTAGCCAAGCCGCGGGGACAGCCAGCCTGCGCCTCAGCACCCCCGGCCCTCGGAGGCGATGCGCTCTGGGAGCGTGACAGCTTTCAACTGAACAGCTCACCAGCTCTTTGCTCCCCAGATCCCGGAAACCCGCCGGCTCTCCCTCTGCCAGTCACCGGGTTGTCCATGACGACACAGGAGACTGGTCAGTGCCTGGACAAGCGTGCCCAGCAGCCTCCATCCTGCCAGCAAGAGCCAGTGTGGCACAACCGCACACCCGTCGCCTGGCAGTGGTGAGTGCCTGCCTGGCACATCCCAGCAGCACGGCCTTGGGGCCCAGGGACCCTGGTGAGTCACCCAAACACTGCCTGTCCCACTTCCCAGCCTCGAAAGGAGGCTGCCTCTCAGACAGCCCACAGTGTAGATGGACACCCCACAGTCACACTCAGCCCAGCCCTCCCTCCACACGTCCCAATGACCCTGCGGGCCGCGCTGCGTCTGGAGCCGTCACCTTGGGTGGGCGTTTATTCCACGGCATTGAAGACTTCTTCACCAGCACAGCCACAAAGAACCCGCCGGTGTTCTGATGATGCGGTAATATTCTAAGACTTGAGAACAAAAATATGATTCACACATTCTAACTGACCCAACAGTTAACGTATCTTCTCGTATGAAGATAAAGACTGGGAGGGGTCAGTGATTGGGACAGTGCTGTCCTAGTGCGAGTTTCCACAGCACTCACTCCCAGATGGGCCAGCACGTGCAGGGGCGAAGCTGATGGTGCACCCAGAGCACTGCCAGCCGGGGTCTGGCCACGCAGGGCTACCTGTGCTCCACGCTTGCAGGAGCAGTCCCCCAAGGTCCTGCAGTGTTGAGCAGAGCCCCAAGGGCCCAGCAGGAGGGCAGGGCTGTCCCCAGGCTCACCAGCGCTCGAGGTGCATGGCCTGCAGCCTCTCGGGGTCCTTGGGCGGGAACATGGTGGGCCGGATCTGGGTGTGTCGGCTGTGGGGGACATCACTCCAGTCTGCAAACCACTGGCCATCCTTGGTCATCACCTGCAACACGAGGGCAGGACTGGACGCCAGCAGCAGAGGCCCAGGGCGGACACGTACATGCCCTCGGGCCTGGAGACAGGACGCTCCTTCCCCTCAGAGCAAGGAAGATGATTTGCAAAGATGAAAATGAGATGATCTTCTATCAACAAGGCCAAGCTCTTATAAAGAGCACTTTTCATGTGAGTCTTTTACCATTTATACATGTATTCATTTTTGAGGAAATAACAGTGTGTGATGTACATGCACGGAGGTCACACCCTTCAGGTGCATGACACCCCACCCCCCACCATCAAGGCAGAAGAGGGTGTCTGTCTCCATACCTGACCTTGAACTTGACCCTGGGCTGCACGGGGGTCCCTAACTTCCCAGGACCGCAAAGCCCGCTGGGCTCACCTTCCAGTGCGCAAGGCCAGGCATCCACTTGAGCCCCGGCAGCTCGGAGGACACGTCAGCCAGCTCCAGAGCTCCTAGGGCAACAGCAGCTGGGCTCACGCACCGCCTGGCGGGAAGGCGCGCACACGCGGCCGCACAGGGCAGGCTGGGGGCCACATGATTGCTGGCCAGTGCTGAGGCCACACGGCCCGCACCTGCGCCAGCTGTCCCTGCATGACTGACTGCGGGGTGTGGCGGGATGGAGCTGCGCCAGTCAGACAGGGCGGGGGGAGGGGTGTCATGCTGTACTGTTTCACCTCCCGGGACCTACAGCAGCGTGTAAGATGAACGTGGACATTTTCCGGCCAAGTCACTTTTCTGAAACACTTGGGTTCCAAAAGTGCTGTTTACGCAGCAGCGGAATGAGAACTGGCCCAACAGGCCAACCCAGAGACCACGGGAGCAAACGCCCGTGACATGCCCACCCCAGAAGCACCGTGGGCGGCTGCAGGCTGCACAGGGGCAGGGACGGCCGATGCCCACGCAGGCCGCGCTCACCTTCACTCTTCTCCAGCAGCGCTGCAATGACGGCCTCATCCTCGATGGGGTTCAGCGAGCAGGTGGAGTACACCATCCGGCCACCTTCTGCCAGCTGCTCGGCGCCCCGCGTGGCGATCCGTAGCTGTAAGCTAAGGGCCAGAGGTCACCCGGGCCAGCGGCCAAACGGGCAGCCTCGTCGGCCTCCACGTGGGGCGCGGCCAGCAGCAGAGCGACAGACAGGCTGCAGCCCGACTGAATGCCTCTGGGCCGGGAGGGGTGTGGCTGTTCTGTCTGGGCCAGTCTTTACCTGTCAGGACACCCCGACCAGACGAGCGCCAGGGACACAGCAGCCCCAGGCGGTGGACGCTGCACCCCCCCCCCCAGGCCGCGACCCGCAGCAGAGGCGCCACGCCCCCGTTAGGGGACAAGCACGAGCCCTGCAGCTGGAGGACGGCGCAGTCAGGCCACGGGCCAGGCCTCCTTCCCTCCACTTGCAAGAATTTCTCCTGTTTTCTTTAATGAACACTTTTCCCACATGAAAGAGGCCAATCAAAACACACCTTCCAAGAGATTAAACTGTCAGGCAAAACAGTTCAGCACAAAAGACAGAAAATGGACAAAGCTTAGCAAGACAGCGGGGGCTGGGCAGCCCAACCACGGGCAACGTGTACTAAGCATGTCCTGGTTTCACGAAAAGTGCTTTGAAGAAGCGCGTGCCCGGGATGGACTCGATCTCGCGGTGAGACTCCCACAAGCCCCTGCTTCTCACAAGCAAGCGAGCTGCAGCCCTCGCCCCGGCGCCCTCACCCGTGCAGCTGCAAGCTGTTCAGGGTGCTCCACTTCTTCCAGACGTCGATGTTCTTCCTCATGGTGCCGTCTCCACTGCAGAGAGAGATTCCAGAACTCAGAACCTCGCTGAAGCTGAGCGAGCGTCCCAGCCGAGCCAGATCGCGAAACCACGGGGAGCATCTGGACTCATGGAAATTCCCCCGAACTGCAGCCAGCTTTCCATTTTGGGGACAACTGTCCGTTCAATAAAAAAACAGATCTCACAAGAAACCACACCGAATATTTGGAAGCGAGAGTAATTTGCTTCCCTTTCAGAGAAACACTAGCAGAGGGAGGTTTCAGAGCCGGGACGGGGAACCGGGGGTACAGGACAGCAGACCCTGCTCCTCAGAAAGGGAGCTCACCAGCAGCGGCATCTGAACCGGAATGACCTGAGTAACACCCAACCTACACTCCAAGGGGATCCCACAGCAAATTCAATGAAGCCAATTCCATCTCTACGCCAGGACCTCCCCGCACCACAGCTGGGCGCCGCCTACTCCCCGCTGCTTGGCGGGAGTGACCCCGCGGACGCCAGGGACAGGCGCCCTCCGCTAGCTTCTGCCCATTCCCCAGCTCCTCCCCCCATTTTCCCTGGGCAACTCCAGAGCCTGTGGCTTTCTCAGTCACGTTTTGTTTTCCTGGCTGCCTGGCCATGCCCTGCAGGGCGAGGGGCTGCGGGAGGGAGAGACCCTGAGACAGGCCGGCCCCCGGCGCTCACACGGGTCCTCACTGTACTCAGCAAAGGAAGATGGGGGAGGGGGGGTCTGATCCAAAGTAAAATCAGAGAACTACACACTGAGGAGAAAGGGGCCCAATGGGGCCTGTGTCACTTTACTTCAGAAGGAAGCTCCTTCGGGAATTTTGAAGCAGCTGCAGTCGGGGCCACCAGCTGCGATTTTCACCAAGTCCTGCCCCAGCAGGGAGACCCCAGAGGGGCGAGGCGCAGGCAGGTGCCGCCCTTAGACCCACGCTGTGGGGCCGTCCTGAGGCAGCTCTGGGCCCCGGTGCCGCCCAGTCCACGCTCTGGTGGAGAAGTTCAGTGAGGGTGTGACCCTCACCCATCACCACCTCCGGGAGCTCAGCGACGCCTTTGGTTTTGCTTTATTCCTTCCGGAAAGACTCGGGCAATTTGCTGTCATGCCACGAAGTTCACAAATTAAACACCCACCACTTACAGCTACGACTCAGAGGGAGGGGCGTGTAGACACAGATGCGGGAGCTGCCCGGACCCGCTCTCTACTTCCGGGCTGAACCATGGGCCTCGCGCCCACCACAAGGGCCCGCGCTCTGCTGCGGGGGAGGGGACTGCCCTGCACGTCCACCACACGCTCAGGCGGTCGAGCAAGACCCTCGGTGCCCCCAGAGGGCTCACGCCGCCCCTTCTCCGGCGCCTCCGTGAGAGCCCTGTCCAAAGTGCCTCCGCATATCCTGGGTCTGCCCTGACCCGGGCCCCGACACTGTCTCCCATGCCAGCCCCACGCGAGCGGCCTCAAGGCGCCCTGGTTTCCTGGGGACAGGCTGGCTCTGGCCCCGCCCACTGCACACACCTGCAGGGGACATCGCACAGGATGCGGTCGTAGAAGAGGATCTCCTTGCGCCCGTCCACATCGATCTGCAGCCGCGGGATGCTGGACGCGTCATGGTTGACCACCATGATGCAGGGGCTGCCCAGCCGCTTGGCCTGGTGCACCAGCAGGTAGCAGCGCTTGTTGTCCACGTCGTTGGCGATGACAAAGCCCTCTGGGGACAGAAGACGGCCGCGGTCAAGGGGGCTGATCCCCAAACACCAGGCTGGCGGGCGAGCGGCACACGCCAACCGACCCGAGACGGGACCTGGGCTTGGGAGCTGCCGCGTGACGGACGCGGCCCTGATATGGGGTTCGGTCACCGGAGACCCCCAAACACTAAGGCCCGTTTGCTCATCGAGGACTCATGCGCACCAGCTACCAGGCCAGCGTGTCCGTGACGGGGAGCAGAAGCGCCTCGGAAGCCGCGTCTGGCTGGCTATGGGCTGCTCCCGGGAAATTCTGAACGTCATTCCCAGAACCCCGCTGCAGTGCCGCTGGGGACCCCGCCTCCAGTAAAGAGGCAAACCGCCCGACGACATCAACTGATCAGTGTCGCTCTTCACAACCGTGACAAGCATGGATCAGGGGGCGGGAGGGGGAGGGCCTGGCCTGCAGGTGGACTCTGGGGGGGAAAACTAAAGCTGGGGAAGCACCGAGAAAGCTTCTCAGCTACCCGGCGGGGGTGGGGAGGGTGGCGGGGGGGGGGGGGAAGCAGACTGCAGCCAAGAACACCCATCCCGCCTGCCCACTGTCACCGGGAGCCCTGCAACCTTTGCAGCCCGTCCGCCTGCCATGGCTGGTCACCAGAAGCCCGGGCCGCTGTGACCGCCAAGCCCTCCAGAGGCCCGGCTGGAGGCTACCAGCACACCGCGCCCCCCACCCACCGCTCCGGCCGCCCCGCGCACCTGGGAAGGGCACATTCATGTCCGCGTGCAGCATCTCGATCAGCTGCGTGGTCTTGGACCCCGGCGCCGCGCACATGTCCAGGATCTGGGCAGAGAGCCAGGGCGCGATCGTGTTCTTACGACACCAAACAGCCACGTTCACCTGACGACAGGCTTCGGGCCAGTCTGGTACCTCAGTTTCTGCTCCAAGAGCTAAACTTACTTCTTTACAGAATGACCCCCACATGGTGTACTGAGCTCACAGGGGCTCCCCGACACACAGCGCCCCAGCACAGCATGGGCGGCGGGAACAGAAGGCTCTGGTGGCAGGTGGGAGTGAGAGCGCCGCCGGGCCACCACGTGGGCCACCACCCGGGCTCTCTGCCTCCTCCTCATCATTGGGAAAGTGCAAACAGCAGCAGCGTGTACCCTCCCCGGGCAGCCATGACGAGGGAGCAGGCCAGAGTGCAGCACGGAGCTCTCGGGACACGTCCCAAGGAGCCTCCATCCGAGCCCGCGTCCCGGAAGACGACCCGTGCGATGACTGAGTCTCGGGACCCGCCGGCACAGGAGGGGCAGCGGCTCAAACTGGAAACCCCACAGGGCGACACCGCCGCACCGGAGCCTAGATCACAACACGACCAAGCACCCTCCTCCCAGCCGCGACGAGGGCCGGCGCGGGCGCACCTTGTGCTGGGGGCGGGCGCCGAGCAGCAACGGCGGGATCATGCTCACGGCCTCCTGCCGGCTGATGTTCCCCTGCGGGCAGAGACGACTGGCGTCAGCCGGGGCGCGCCGCCCGCTGGGGACGAGACCCCGTGCAGTCTGCAGAACGCAGGAAGCGGAAGGCGAGGCACACCTGGGGACACCCCTTCCCCCACGGGCGTGGCTGGGACAGAGCACGGGACGCCAGGACTTTGAGGAAGCAGCGAATCTAAAGAAATCTACTTACAGACTCGGTTTCGCTAACCAGAAACTGGTGAAACTTTTCCAGTTGAGGAGACTTCCTCAGGATTTTCCGACTCAAGTTCGTGTGCCACGCCAGCTCCTCGGGGTACCTGACCGAAGGAGAGGAAGCCCTGTGGTCAAGCCTGTCACGTGCTAATGCGTCTCGCTGCCAGGAGCGCCCTGCAGGCCCCGCCCCCGCCAGCACAGCCAGCAGCGCCCCACGCACAGGGGGTGCGTGCACACAGGATGAACACGCTCGTGGCCGGGTGAGGAACAGGGAACCGGCGCTGGATGCGGGAGTGAACAGAGCCAGGGCCTGTCAGGAGAGGCCATCTCAGGGACAGCCACACCGCTTTGCGATCTGAGCGAATGGGCAGCAGAAGACGACTCGGGGCCTGAGGTTTCTGGGTACGGCCGACTGCCCAGCCCAGGGACTCGCGGCTGCACTTGCTCCCACCTGTGCCCGGCCTGTTTCTATTGCCTGCTCCATTCCCTCTCCCACCCACGCCCTCACTATCGCTCCCCGAGACACAACACTGAGAGCAGGTCAGCGACGCAGTGATTAAAAGCTATGAGAATCTTTTGATCAAAACCCTAAAATGAGTCAGTTTAGCAAGACAGGAAGGCCGAGAGGCCACAGACTGAACACGGAGCTGCTGCGGCTGCCCAGTGAGTCTTCTCGAGCCTGGGCCGACCAAGCTCCTGGGGTGGAGCCACACGCCAGCTGCCACTGGGAACAAGGCTCCGTCAGAGTGAAGCAGAAAACGTCAGGCTGACCTGTTGATGAGCCGATGCCGGGACAGAGCCCGAAGACAGACAGTTTCAGGGAACGGCTGAGAAACCTCTCAAGGATCAGCTGGCTGTGCCCCTTGCTCCAGACAACAAATACCCTGCTGCCTAAGTACCTGGGGCCGGACTTCCAAGTGCAATCTCCTCGGGGCCCCAGTGCCCAGAGAGAGCCTCCCTCCTCCTCCGAGCGCCGCTGCTTCCCTAGGGAAAACCTGCCGCAGCAAGGTCAAGACCACGACGGGCAGGAGCTTGGAAAGAGATTCCAACCCTCGTGGGTGACTCCAGCTGGTGGAAATGGCAAAACCAATCAGAAGTGGAGCCTGGAGATGTGAGCCAAGCCACCCCTACAGGGACGTCTCGGGGTGACCCTGTCCAGCTCCGGAGGTGTGGAGAGCGAGGGAAAGATGATCTGCGCACAGAGTCCTCTGTGTAACACCCTTGCAGAAGACACGGCACCCAGGCCAGAGGCACCTGCCTCTCCCAAGCTACACCTCACCATGCTGCAGGGGTTCAGAATGTGTGACCCACTTCTGTATTCTGCGCGATCTAGAAAACCAGCAGGAGCCATGGGGGTTGCCTGGCCCCCCGACCTGCTGAGATTCACAGGTGCCCCAGCCTTGACATGTGCCTTTGAGCAGGCGGTGGCCCCACGCCACCATCCTGGGTAATGGGAGATGGCGATTATCAATGCCCCAAATCTCAGCACGCGGCTCACACCCCTCACCCGTGCGCTGGAAAACCAGAGCACACCACAGCGTGGAGAAGGACGGCCAGAGCCGGAGTGATCGCCTGTCCCTCAGCCACACCGCCCTGGGTGGGGCGGCGCCGTGCAGGCACCTGTGCCCAAAGCCGCGCAGTGAAACAGGAGGCGGCGGGGGAGCGTTCCAGGGCCAACCAGACGAGAGCGTAACCATAGCAAGACGGATTCTCCTACTGGCTGGAAACCACAAGGCTGTGCCTGAGCACCTCTGGCCCTGGGACTGCACGTTCCTGCTGGCCACACCGCGGGGGTCAGCCTGACCCTCTGAAAAGCAACACGTCTACGCACCAGGCCCAAGACCTTCCCGGTGAGAGGAAGAGGCGAGCAGGACACCTTGGGGACAGAAAGGGGACAGACGACCGACTTCGGGCAGCGGTCCTGAGAGTGGGCCCACACCTGTCCACGGGGGGAGACTGCCTAGCCTCGGGGTCACCCCTCAGTGCAGTGGCTGGAGACCCCCTGCCTTCCCACACTGCCAGCACGGGTCTGTGTGACCCAGGATGGCCGTCTAGAAAGAGAGTTGCTTTTCTAGTGCCCCACGTCTATATCACTCAAGCTTTTAAAACCAGGCCAAAAAAACTTAATTAAAAAAGTCAGGAAATGTCTCAACTCAGACGTGTCCTCGTACCCCAGAAACACATTCTCTAATGACGGCTTCGGCTCTGCTCGGGCCAGGTTCTGATTTCATCATTTGGTCATTTAACGCCGACTCAAGAAGCATATGCTATGTCTACCCCTGAGCTGGACACTAAACTTCCAGATGGCCAATGTGAGGCAAGCAGTCAAACCTGGCCTTAGTTTGCGATCACTAGGAAGGACCCAAGCAGCAAAGAGCACATGAGACAAGAGTGAAAACCTCAACAGCTGCAGGAAATGCCAGTGAAGCTCAGTCTTTATAGTCATTTAAAAATGTACATGCTCTTTTTATGAGCCGCCTCAATGTCTCAAAGCTGCTGGTGTGAAGTGTGCAAGTGAAACAGTGTCACAGTTTCTATTTCTAAATTAGCCCAGGGCCTGGTATGTGAGTGTGGCTGGGCACAAACTGGGCACCCTGGCATTCCACAGGCCCTCCCTACGGCAATCCTGATGCGAGAAAACAAAGCGGGGAAAAACTTAATTCAGGGAGTCAAGGGCACTGCAAGTCTCGTGAGCAAGATCATACAACTCCACGCCGCAGCATCGGGAAGAACACCGGAAAAAGGGCAGGAGACTGTCAAGTAAGTTCAGGGTCTTTCATGCCAACAGCAAAGGCATCGCCAAGAATCGTACTCAAGTGACCAAGGCCAACATCCCAGAAGCGTCCTCGGGACGAAGCCTGGCCATGCCCGCCTGGCCATACCCACCAGCTCAGGGGCTGAGGCATGTCCACCTTCTGCCCGTCCACCTCCAGGTCCTCCAACTCCTTGAAGTACTTGTTCTTCAAACAATGGAGAATCTCCTTTGCGTGGCTAGTTAAAAACAAAAAAACAAATTCCACACCGACCTGGGAAACGGATTCCATTCCACGGCCTGTGGGCTGCAGCCTGCAGGCGCATCACACCCACGACGCCGTAGAGGAGAGGGGCCGTCCTTCCCACGCGGCCCCGGCAGAGTTTCAACAGCCCCCCTGCTCGATCCCGGAAGGCGGTGACGAGCTGAGCGCAGCACCTGCACCCCCAAAACATTAGCCCCCAGTTGCATTTTTTATTGGCCCCACCTCGCAGAGCCAGGAGGACACACGCAGCCCGGCGGGCAGCGGCTCGCGCGCAGCCTCGGCCGCGCCAGACTCCCCCGCGCTCCGGAGCGCAGTGTCCGCGGCCCCAGCCCGGGAGCCGACCCTTCCCGGGCCCTCGGGCGCCGGGCCCCGGCCAGGCCCCGCCCGGGCCCGCCGCGGCCGCACCTCTTGTAGCCGGTGATCCTCAGGGTGGCCGGGAGCGGCTCGCGGAGCGCGCCCATGAACTGGTCCCACTCGCCGTCGGGCACGATCCTGAGCTCCTGGTAGTAGTGCTCGAACAGCTTGTTCTCCTTGACGATCTCGGGGTACCCGCCTTCCCAGCCCTGCGCGGGGAGCGAGTGAGCGAGCGGGCCCGGGCCCGCCGCGGGGGGGGGGGCGCGCGGGGCCGCCGGCTCCTACCGCGTCCTGGCGCGTCCTGCCCGCCGCGGCGCCGCGCTCCGCGCCCGGGGGACGCTGCTGCTGCTGCTGCTGCTGCTGGAGCCGCCGGCCCCGCGCCCGCCGCCCCATGGCCCCCGCGGCCGCGCACGCCGCCCGCGCCCCGCGCCCCGCCGCCGCCACTTCCGGGCGCGCAGGCCCCCGCGCGCCCGCCGCCCGCCTGCGAGCGCCGCCGCCCGCCCGCGAGCCCGCCGCCGACCCCGCGGCCACGCGGGCTCCGGGGCGCACGATCACGAGCCGGCGCGCGGCGGGGACGTGGCTCCGCGGGCCCCCCGAAAGCCTCGGCGCCCACCCCGCTTCCGCGCCGGCACCGGCAGCTCCGCGGACAGCCCCCGGCCGCGCGTGCGCACAGCGGGGAGGGCGGCCCTCGGCAGCCCCGCCCCCGACGCGGCCCCGCCCCCGACGCGGCCCCGCCCACGCGCCGCTCCCGTCCAGGCCCCGCTCGGTCCAGGCCCCGCCCCCGACGCGGCCCCGCCCCGCCCCGCTCCCGCCCACGAGCCGGCCCGCCCACGAGCCGGCCCCGCCCCGCCCCGCCCCGCCCGGCCGCGGGGGCAGGTGACTCGACCTGTTGGTCGCCCCCGCGGGCGCCGAACCCCGCGGGCGGCGCCCCCCCGGGGAGCCGCGCCTCCCGCCGCGTCGCCGCCGCCCTACTTGTGGCGGGCCGCGCCCCCGGGCCATGGAGTGCGCCCGCCGCCCGCCATGGAGCTGGCCGAGCCGCAGCTGCTGGACGCGCTGGCCGCGCTGCTGGGCGCCCTGGGCGTCCTGGTCTTCGTGCTGCTGCGCCTCGTGGGCTCGCCCTACGGGCGCTACGCCCCGCCCGGCGCCCTCTGCCCGGTGCCCGCGCGCCTCGCCTGGGCGCTGCAGGAGCTGCCCGCGCTGGCCGTGCCGCTCTGCCTGTGCGCGCGCGCCGAGCGCCTGCACTGCTGGCCCAACCGCCTGCTGCTGGCCATGTTCCTCGTCCACTACGCGCACAGGTGAGGCGGGCCCGCCCGCGCCCCGGCCCGAGCCGCGCCCCCCGACCCGCGCCCCGACCCGCGCCCGACCCGCGCCCGACCCGCGCCCCGACCCGCGCCCGACCCGCGCCCCGGCCCGCGCCCCGACCCGCGCCCCCACACGCGCCCGACCCGCGCCCGACCCGCGCCCCGACCCGCGCCCCCACACGCGCCCGACCCGCGCCCGACCCGCGCCCGACCCGCGCCCGACCCGCGCCCCGGCCCGCGCCCCGACCCGCGTCCCAACCCGCGCCCGACCCGCGCCCCGGCCCGCGCCCCGACCCGCGCCCCGACCCGCGCCCGACCCGCGCCCCGACCCGCGCCCCCACACGCGCCCGACCCGCGCCCCGGCCCGCGCCCCGACCCGCGCCCGACCCGCGCCCCGACCCGCGCCCCCACACGCGCCCGACCCGCGCCCCGACCCGCGCCCCGACCCGCGCCCCCACACGCGCCCGACCCGCGCCCGACCCGCGCCCGACCCGCGCCCGACCCGCGCCCCGGCCCGCGCCCCGACCCGCGTCCCAACCCGCGCCCGACCCGCGCCCCGACCCGCGCCCCGACCCGCGCCCGACCCGCGCCCCGACCCGCGCCCCCACACGCGCCCGACCCGCGCCCTGGCCCGCGCCCCGACCCGCGCCCGACCCGCGCCCCGACCCGCGCCCCCACACGCGCCCGACCCGCGCCCCGGCCCGCGCCCCGACCCGCGCCCGACCCGCGCCCCGACCCGCGCCCCCACACGCGCCCCCACACGCGCCCGACCCGCGCCCGACCCGCGCCCCCACACGCACCCCGACCCGCGCCCGACCCGCGCCCCCACACGCACCCCGACCCGCGCCCGACCGGCAGCCCGGCCCGCGCCCGACCCGCGCCCGACCCGCGCCCCGACCCGCGCCCCCACACGCACCCCGACCCGCGCCCGACCCGCGCCCCCACACGCACCCCGACCCGCGCCCGACCGGCAGCCCGGCCCGCGCCCGACCCGCGCCCGACCCGCGCCCCGGCCCGCGCCCCGACCCGCGTCCCAACCCGCGCCCGACCCGCGCCCCGGCCCGCGCCCCGACCCGCGCCCCGACCCGCGCCCGACCCGCGCCCGACCCGCGCCCCGACCCGCGCCCGACCCGCGCCCCGGCCCGCGCCCCGACCCGCGCCCCCACACGCGCCCGACCCGCGCCCGACCCGCGCCCCGACCCGCGCCCCCACACGCGCCCGACCCGCGCCCGACCCGCGCCCGACCCGCGCCCGACCCGCGCCCCGGCCCGCGCCCCGACCCGCGTCCGACCCGCGCCCCGGCCCGCGCCCCGACCCGCGCCCCGACCCGCGCCCGACCCGCGCCCCGACCCGCGCCCCCACACGCGCCCGACCCGCGCCCTGGCCCGCGCCCCGACCCGCGCCCGACCCGCGCCCCGACCCGCGCCCCCACACGCGCCCGACCCGCGCCCCGGCCCGCGCCCCGACCCGCGCCCGACCCGCGCCCCGACCCGCGCCCCCACACGCGCCCCCACACGCGCCCGACCCGCGCCCGACCCGCGCCCCCACACGCACCCCGACCCGCGCCCGACCCGCGCCCCCACACGCACCCCGACCCGCGCCCGACCGGCAGCCCGGCCCGCGCCCCCACACGCGCCCCGGCCCGCCCCTCTCCTCACTCTGCCCCGCGCCCCCACCGGCCGCCTCTGGAGCACCCCGACTCAGCCTGCACCTCCTGAACACCCCTCACCTGCTGCCCTTCCCGCACCTCTCCTAGACCCCGCGGCCCCCGCGCCCTCCCCCTGCGTCCTCGCCCAGCCGGCTTACCGGCGCCCTCTCACCCCAACTCTGTGCCCTGTCCCTGCGCCTCAGGGGCACCCCGACCCTGTGCCCTCTCCCTGCACCTCCCGTTCCGGTCTCGGCACCAGCTCCTGCGCAGGGCGCCGCGGGAACCGGACGCGGCCCGAGCCGGGCCAGGTGAACAGCTCCGGGCTGGCTGCTGTGCAGCGCGCACCCCACGTGCGCTCCGGGGCTCTGAGCTCCCGCCAGCGAGGGCCAGGGGCGCCTTCTGAAGATACGGGGATGCACAAAAGGCCGGCTGAAAGAGTTTGGCCTGGATGCCGCCTGGGGGTCTAAGCTTTTTAGCTTCAACCACCACGTGACTGTTTCCCGGGCTGCAGAGGGGAAGGAGCCCAGCCCACGGGGAAGGTCCCCTGCGGGGGAGACTGGAGTGGACGGCCCCTCCGGGGAGGCCCTGAGACAGGGAAAGCGGGTGTCTTGCTCGGAGGGCTCAGATCGGAGGAAGATGTGCCACTTCCCCCGGGGGCACGGGCCTCGGTCAGGCTCTCAAGAAAGCAGCCCCCCAACTGCCTAGAAGAGTGAAGACTCGGGGACTTGCCTGGTATTGGGGTTGGTGCCGGCGGGGCCTTTCTATGGCCAGGTGAGCGCCTGATGACAGCGTCCAGTCTCTGTCCTCTGAGCCCCTCCTTGCAACCCCAGGCCGCGTTGGCATTCTGCTGGCCAGTACGTGTACCCCCATTTTGCCTCAGTCTTCGTATTCTGATGAGGGTGTAGACGCCTCCCCCCACAAAGCCATCTGATACTAACTTGGTTATTCATCCCTGTTGAGGAAAATACAGACGGGGAGGGGACATGTCCCCTCCTCCCAGGCACAGGCAAGGCGTGGGGGTGGTGACTGGGCGAGACCCCTGGCTGCTAGGCTGGTGGCTAGAAAAGCTCCGCTCCAGGGGGTTCGCTGGCTCTGGGGTGGTCTTCAAAGGACGAGTCCACTTTCTCGCTTCGAATGTGTCGCTGTGCGCACGGGCCGTGTGGTGTGGGGACAGTTAACTTTTCACATTGGAAGAGATAAAGAGTTTCCTTTCTTCCCCGGCAGCTAATTTATTAAAGGGTTACCCGACCCAAGTAGGTGAGCTCTCGGAGGAGCAGAGCCGCCTCCAGCCGGGCAACGCTGAGCCCTGCTCTGTCCTGGGCGTCTGGGGCTGCCAGGCCAGAGAGGAGACCGGCCCGGGCAGGGAGAGCCGAGGCCAGGGCACACCCCAGGAGTGCGGACCCCGGCAGGTGTCTCCGTCTGGAGCCGGAGGGTGTCCTTCGTGGTGTCCGCGCAGGTGTGGGGCTGTGGGAGACCGCCAGGCCCGGCCGCGGTGACTGAGCCTCCTGAGGGAGTGACGAGGCCGACGCCCAGGGAGGTGGCAGGGAGACCTGAGTCCCCAGGAGGCTGATCCAGGGGCGAGGGTGGGCCAGACCGCCCACGGCCGAGGAGTGAGGAAGACGGTGTGTGCATTTTGACTGGTGCATTTGGCAAACTGTTACCGAGAATGGCCTTACGTGCCTGGCACTGTTCTCGTGATGGCAACGTAGGCACAAGATGGAGACCTAAGGTAGGAGCCAGACAGCACTTTGGCACAAAGCCTGGGGAGGAGGAGGACCTGGCCGCGGGTGAGCGCCTCGCCGGCCACGGGCAGGTGTTTGACAAACTCTGACCAGCCGACCTCTGGCCAGCAGACCTGGGACTCCAGGGTGCTCCCACCTCTCATCCTGCCGCCACATTTTCACCCCCTTCCCCAAGCCTCACCCTTGCGCCTCCCTGCTACCCCGCCTCCCCGAGGTCTCCTGGATGCCCCGATGGCTCCTCTTGGTCACGGCGGCCCCTGCCCTGCTCATTCAGCCTGTCTCTGCCGGGCCCACCTCTGCCGTTCCTCACTCCAGGCCGCCACCCCCACCTGGCTTGTCACCCCCTCTGCTTCCTGGCGGGCTGTCTTCACCCGTCCCTCCACGGCCTTGACATGACCATGAAATCACGCTCCTCAGGCGGACCCCACCTCCGGTCCATGTGCCCTCAGCCCTGACCCCGACTGTCATGGTCCCCAGATATTTCTGTCGTCGGACCTTGAGTCTGGCTCAAGGATTTTCTGTTCCTGTTTTTCTCAACTCCTGACCTGTCGCCCTTGCTCAGAGCTGGGCGGGGTCTCCCAGTTCCTGCACGGAGGGGGCTTCTGGGTCCCTGTCCTGGCCGAGGGGCTGCTGCTTGGCTCCGGCGGGCCCTCAGCCCACCTTCCCAGCCCCTCTCCTGCCCACCCCCCAGAGTGCCCCTGGGCCCCACGTGCTGCCTGGGGTCCACGGCGGGCTGCGGCTCCGGTCCTCCAGGGTTCAGTCGCAGCTCAGAGTGGCCAAGGCTGCTCCCTGGTGCCCGGGGAAAGGCGGGCCTTTCCTGCCACAGCTGCACAGGACTCCTGGGGAGGAGGGTGAGTCTAAAGGGAAAAGCCAAGTGGAGAGTGAGCCAGGAGGGGCACAGTCCCCCAGGAAGCCCAACTGTGTGGGGCCAAGCTTGCCAAGGCCCTGCTGATGTGCCCCCAGAGCTGGGGTGCTTGGGGTGCCTGGACCATGCGGGGGGCCACCTACTGGGGAGGAAGCTCTTAGCTCTGCCCCAAAGAGCCGGTGTGGTCTGCTGGTCGGTGGTTTCGGGGTCTGCCTCCCCTTCCAGGTGGGGCGCAGCTGCGGAGACTGTCACTGTGAGGAGGCCTTTCCTCCGGCGTGTCTCTGAGTCCAGGGGAGCCCCCCGCCCACCCAGCTCCTCCATGAAGTCTCCAGGTGCCCCTGGGGGCAAAAGTCAGGGACTCTCCTTTCATCTGCCCGTCTCGGGGTGCAGGCGCAGTGCTGGGGCGCTGGGCCCCGCTGCCTGCCATCACGGTGCCGGCCGGGGGGCTTTGCACAGGGGTCAGTGTGCAGGCCCCACATGATGGTCGCGTTAATCTGGACCCAGGACTGCGACCGTCCATTTCAGCTCCAGCCGCCAGATAAACAGATCGAGCGCGCCTAATGCTCCTCCCACGGGGTCGGAGAGCTTCACGGAGGCCTCAGGACCGCGCTGAGGGGTCATAAAATCTCCTCTGTTCAAACAAAAGATCACCACTTTTTTCCTAATTTAGATTTCTGGGAAGTTTTGTCAAAAATGTTAGGGGGAAAGCCATTTAAAGCTCGGAGTCAACGTGCCTGCTCGCTTCCAGCCAAACTGCAGCCTTTGATTGGACTCCATAGTTGGGATTTTCAACCTTCAAAACAATACCCTTAAGTTTCCAACTCCCATTTTACCTGGCGTTAAGGACGTAACCAGCTCACCTGGTGGCTCCTCTGTACCACATGCCCAGCGCCGGTGCCAGGTAGGACAGAAAAACTCCTGCTCCCCACCACGGATGTACGGCGCACGCATTTCAGATCAACCCGTTCATTCAGTTCCAAATTAGTTTCCATGAACTACAATTTACTCCAGACAACGCTACCTAGAAGCACTTAGACCAGCAGCTTATACCATTTCTGTAGGCGCCGTCCACACCCATGGTTATTCTCGGAGGCAAAATAATCAGACGCGGAGGGGTGGACGGACAGACAGCACAGATGGAAACACACCGCGCCCCGACTTCTCATGTCAGCCTCGTGGAACGTCCTGCACCGCTGCACTTTGCCTTATGTTTGCAGAGACACGGTGCCTCCTCCTGGCTTCCGTAGGAGGACAAACACCTGCTTCAGGAGGCTGAGCTTTCCCCCCCGGCCTGCGGGAAAGGCAGTTCTGCTCACACAGACTAGCATGTCGGTGTGACGTGTCCCTGCAAAAGCTGCCTGCAGAGACAGAAGGGACATCAGGACATGGACCCATAAACCAAAAAGAGAGCAAAACTCCTGCAGCTTTTTCCATCCTCATGGGAAATCCTTCCACCCACCCGAGCCCATGTCCACAGAGGCAAAAAAACCGCGTCATCGCCAGTGCCCCGGGAGACCCTTTACCCTGATACTGTGCCCCAGTAGCTTTAGGTAGGAGTCAGTCCTGGGGGAATGCTTGGCTCCAAAGTGTCAACCTTGGGTGATCTGTTGAGCCCTCCTATGCAGTCAGTGTTTGTTGTTACCTCTTACCTTGAGGGAGTCCTCGGGCAGGGCAGGGCTATCAATTTGTCTTCTGTGCTGACATCCCTGCGGGGATGACTTGGCTTCTTTGGTGGCCCGGAGTGTCAAGGCTGTGTGTGCTGCACATCAGTAGCTCAGTTCCGTGAAGCACATTTGTAAACACTTCCACTCTGAGCTGGCAGGGGAGGGTCAGGCCTGCTGGTCAGCTGGCGTAGCTGGGGTGGTGGCTCCCAGACAGGTTTGATTATTCCATCCTCAAGGCTCTCTGTACTGCCCTGGGAGCAAGGGAGCTGCATTTAGGGAACCAGTAACGTGGAGCTGCACATCGGGGTTCTCCAGTAGAGCAGCTGGATCTGCCATCCCCAGGCGCCCAGGAATCTGTTAGAGTGATGGCAAAACTGGGTGTGCTGTGTTCACTGCCGTGCGCTGACCGGCGTGTGGGTCACGGCGGCGGTGCAGCTGCGGCCTGGGCTGTGTGGAGGGCTGCCCTTCCGGCCCCAGCGACTGGATTGGCCTCGCTTCACGGTTTGGCTTCTGTCTCTCGTGCCCTCAGGTGCTTGGTCTACCCGCTTCTGATCCGCGGGGGGAAGCCCTCCCCCTTGTACCTGTGCCTGGTGGCCTTCCTGTTCTGCACCTGCAACGGCTACTTACAGAGCCGGTACCTGAGCCGCTACGCGGTGTACGCGGACGACTGGGTCACTGACCCCCGGTTCCTCGCAGGTGAGTGTCCTGGCCGGGCCCCGCCTGCCTGAGCTTCACGTTGACAGTTGCTTCCCGGCAGTCTCCAGTTAGAAAGCCCAGGCGCCTCAGGACACTGCGGTGGCCATGACTGGGCCACAGGGCTCCTGGGGGGCCCCGGGTCAGGCCAGGCTGTCCCCGAGACCCCCAAGGCAGAGCTGCTCGCTCAGAGGCCAAAGCCAAATAGCTGACCTTAGGGCGAGCCTCCAACTAGCCACAGGCAGCAGACAGTGGCCCAAGACCCTGCCTGTCCCTGCATCGTGACTGTCCCCGACCCGCCCAGTCTGCTGCACACGAGGAAGAGCTCGGCTGGGTGATCTCCAACAGGCAATTTGACTTTGGTGGCCCTGCAGGCCTGAGCAAAGAGCGGGTGTGTGAGGTGACTTGGGGAATGTTCGCATTGTTACCAGATATATGTGCGTTTTCACATCGCAACTGCAGCCTCGCAAGTCCCAAGCAAAAACAGCCGTGAAACCCGAGCCACGGGAGTGCTGGCAGAGTGTGGGCCGCAGGGCCGGGCAAGAGTGTGGGCCCGTGAGCGCGTGCGGGCGAGGGTGAAGCAGGCGAGGGTGCAGGCAGGCGAGAGTGCGCGCGTAGCCGCAGCCCTGCCCCGGGCCCCGCGGGTCTCAGCATCCCAGGTGAGGGCTGCTCGCTTGCTGGCTGGCGCTCTCGGGCCATTGCTCCCTGTGCGTGGCCGCACACTTCCCGGGAACAGTCCTGAGTGCCGCGGGCACACCTGTCACTTCAAGTAAAAAGCTGCAGCCGTGTCACCTGGTCTGCAGCTGAATCACATCCCACCTCTGGCTCCTCTGCACTAAATGGAAGGGCGGGAAGGTGGAAAAGCCATCTGGGAAACACCGCGTGTCCCTCGTTAGGGGGTGTGTTTATGTGTAAAGCACGTAGATTTGTAAGGAGGACAGGTGGAGTCGGCGACCCACTCACCTCCAGAAGCGCTGAGCGAGCTGCCGACAGCTCCCGGTGGGCTGGAGCCCGGAACGGCCACTCAAAAGGCTTTTATGCAGATCTTAAGTTCCTAAAAAGTGGAATAAATGTTTGACCTAGGTAGGCGCAAATATTAGTTTTCTTACCAATCTCAGCAATAGAGGAGGTTTATGTCTTAAAAAGAACATAGAATTCTGATGGCGGGGCTCTTTCTGGAATCAATTTGGGGGCCACATCACGCGTAGGTGATGTAAACTGAGAGCAAGGAAGGTAGAGACTCACTGTCGTGTCCAGCAGCCCAGTAAGTGACTTGTGCAACTTGCTACAAAATTCAGTGCAAACTGCTTGGAAAAGAAGCTGCCACGTAGTGGGATCCCAGGGGCTCGAGACCCTTTCTGTCAACCGGATGCATCCATGGCCTGCGCTGACCATGGACCAGTCCTTTGTGCCGCTGTGGCGGTGGGTGGACAGTCAGTCCTAGAGTTGCCCAGCGCAGGTCTCTGACAGCGCATGGAATGCCGGTGTGAGGTACCACCTGCCTCTCAGATTTTGTGAAATATCTCAGAATAATCTGAATAATCAAGTTAACCTTTTTTTTTTTTTAAGATTTAGTTTTTATTTATGTAAGAGCTGGGGTGCAGGCCAGCGATGCGGGGAATGAGAGGATCCACCAGAGACAGAGTGGGGAGCAGAACAGGCAGATCTACTGAAACACACTGCTGAGGGGAGCAGCGGGTGAGACAGGAGAGGTCTGCTGCGCCATGTGGGAATCTCCCTGGCCGGCCGGGAATCGAACCCGCGCTGCAGAGGCTGCGGACAGCTTCACAACGCTACACTCAACCCGCTGCACCAACGGGGAGGCCCCAAGTTAACTTTTTTTTAAAAATCAAACTGAGTCACCCCCCCCCCCCCCCCTGCATCGCACACCATTGTAGTGTTGCCGTTGCTAGGATTTCCCGGTGCCTCAGCAATAGGCCTCCTGGAGGAGGTGACTGCAGCGTGGCGAGGACCGCTGGGCACCGTGGGGTGTGCAGACAGAGGTCAACCCGAGGGCTGGGGACACAGAGACCCCCAGCAAGGCTGAGTGAGCTGTGAGCAAGAAGGAGCCGCCGGGAAGCTTGTCCAGCAGTTTGCAAAGAGAGAAGAGAAAAGATTAGCTGCCAGGAGGAGCCCTCAGCCCCAAAGGGGCCTGGACACTGTCCCCCTGTGGCGTGCTGCAGAGCAGGGAGGCAGTCTGCGCCTGTACTCTCTCGGGCTGCCGGATGCCGCAGGTAGGCACACCTGGGAGTGCACGCCGGTGCTCGGAATGCAGCCCTGTGCCCGTCACATTTCCAGTCACAGCTGTCACCCTCCCCCTAGGCGGCGGCCATCAGTCAGTGTCCCAGTGCACAAGGCTGTTGATTCGTATTAGATAAGCTCTGCCCGGCACCGGCAGCCATGCTGATACCGCTGGGTGGGGGGCAGCGGCAGTGACCTTGGAAGCTGGCCAAGGGCCACTCGGCGCCATGACAGGTGGCCCTATGGAGTCCGGCTTGGCCGGGCTCGCTCCTAGGTTTTGTCTTCATCAAACCTAACAGTCACGCACCCCACACAGGCTCGGCGCTGTGGCTGGCCGGCATGCTGATCAACATCCACTCGGACCATATCCTCAGGTGCCTCAGGAAGCCGGGGGAGACCGGCTACAGGATACCACGAGGTGCGTGGGGGCTGCTTCCAGCTGCAGTGCACGGCCCCTGGCCGCTCTGTTCGCCCCGAGACCTGGTGCCCAGGGCCCGCTGTCCGGGGAGCTGCTGTTCCCGGTCACTGCGGGCTGTTTTATTGGGATGGAAGAAAGAGCCAGTTCTGCATAACTGACTGGTCACCGAGCAAGAGGACACTTGTTCTGCCGGTGTTTGGAAGAGAACGTGGGAGGATTCACGGGAGTGGGGGCTGGACCCCTGGGGCCTGTGACACAGCAGGGCCAGGTGGTCCCTGGGCCCCGTGGCTGCGAAGCCTGGAAGGCAGACCTGGCTGCTGTGCTGCCCCGGCCCATGGCTGCCGTGCCCCACCCACCCGCCCCCTCCTTGGGCCTGGGTTCATCCCCGGCTCCCTCTACTGTGGAGAAGGAGGTGTGGCCCCTCCCCGCAGTGGCCGCTGGGTGCCTTTGGCAAGCCCTGCTCCACTGTGTCCATGGAGGCAGCGTCCCCCTTTACAGCCTGGAAGCAGGTGCACAGAATGGCGAGCGGGATCAGACCTCCTGTCCACAGGGCACGGCTTTGTGCAGCTGGCCCTCTGCAGGCTCCTGAGGAGTTGGTACCACACGGTGGGTCCAGCGTGGACACTTCCAGAAGTTCCAGGACCAGATGCTGGCCTGTCCCGGCCTCCACCCCCGGGCCTGGCCGGGCTGGCTGCCCGCTGTCCTCCCTCCCAGGAGGCTGGCTCCCAGGCCCTCCGGCTTCCCTCCGGCCTCCGTGCCATGGCGTCAGTCTCCCCCAGCCGGCGTGATGTGGGAGCTGACACCCCCGCGCCCAGGCGAGGTAGTTCCGTCAGTCTGTCAGCTGGACCGGCTGCCAGAGCGAAACCCCTCCTCTCAGAGGCTGCTCCAGTTCATGCTTAGGGGCCGGGGTGCTGCTGTTCGAGCACCCCGGGGCCCAGGCCCTGTTTCACGGGAGCTCTGCCTTGTCTTCCAGGAGGCTTGTTCGAGCTCGTCACCGCGGCCAACTACTTCGGGGAGCTGGTGGAGTGGGGCGGCTTCGCGCTGGCCAGCTGGTCGGTGCAGGCCGGGGTCTTCGTCTTCTTCACCTGCTGTAACCTGGTCCCCCGGGCCCAGGCGCATCACCAGTGAGTGTGTGACGCTGTCGCTTTTCATTTGTCCCCTGACGAGACTTGGTGGCAGCTTTAACATGTGAACATGGATTCAAATGGTCAGGTCCCAGGTGACCCCAGGCCTTGACCACATGAGGACGGGGGCCAACAAAGGTGCACACACTGGCCGCCGGGGAGTCACCCTTCACGTCGGCTGAGCCTCTGAATTTATGTGCTGGACTCCAAGGTCAAATTCAGCGTCAACCAGGGGCCTAGGGATCTGACCTGGACCAAACATGGGGCCCCGACTGCACAGTCACATAACCACAGGGCGCCCCTTTACAGGGGAACCCCTCCCACATGCAGCCCCTCAGCTGTGAGGACTTGGGTCCCCTGGGGGCCGCTGGGTTCCGCACCCACCCCAAAGTCACACAGTCCTTCAAAGCGCAGGGTCAGCTTCTATTGGGGTCCTCAGAGGGCAGAGGTCCTTGCATCCATTTGGCAGGAGTCCCAAACAGTCATGCGAGATGCCAGAGCTCGAGTGAGCCTCGGGGCATCTGCCCAGTCCAGCAGGGGGAGAAACTGAGGCCCTAGGCTGAGACCTTGGAGGAGGGTTCCCCTCCAGGTGAGGCCGTGGATGCAGTGATAATGGCGCCTCCTTGCCACGAGGGGGTCACCTTCCCAGCCAGCTACAACCCCTCAGCCACCATGCCAGTGTCTGCTGAGACCATGCATGGCGGGACGGAAAATCCAAATTATGACCAACCAGCTGAGTGCCCCAGCTCTGTCTGCAGGCACCTGGCATGTGGCCGTCTGGACCACAGTTCCGTCCTGGGCCTGGAGAAAACCTTGGGTCACAGCGTGACATTTGCAGGCGTGCCTGCTCGTCCCAGGCCAGGAAAGGCAGCCCCAGCAGCAGGGCGGCAGGTTCTGGGGCCGCAGATAACTGGCCCATCTCAAGGTGAAGTATGTGGTCACTGCTCAATGCATCAGGCCTTATCATCCGATACCTTTCATCCTTTATGATAAGGGCAAAACCAAATATGAATCTGAGATGCCGGTTCTTGCTCTTTTGTACAAGTTCAGTATCCCTCTCGGGTGACAAGGAGGCCCTTTTGCTGGCATGTGGCGAGCGTGTTTCTTGCTTGTAATGTTCTTTTTTTCTCATTTTAGGTGGTACCTGGAGAAGTTTGAAGATTATCCAAAGTTCAGAAAAATTATAATTCCATATTTGTTTTAAGTTCACAGTCAAATCCCTTGAATTTGAAGCGTCTGACACTTCTCTAGGGTTTTAGAAACGGACTCTCCCTCCCCTGCTGCTTCGTCACTGTCAGGATCTGCTCTCTGGCCCTCTTCCTTGGGGGCTGTAAGCTGTGACGCCAAGGGTGCCAAAGTGCATATGGAAGCCTCACTCTGGACACCAGGTCTTGACTGGCCACTTCTCTCTGGGACTGGCTCTGGATGAGTGTGCGAAGGTCTCTAGGCTGCCGAGTCCAGCCCCTGCCTGGTTGCAGGTCGCAAGTGAGTGGCCTCCACCCTCCCCGGTGATGTGCTATCTCAGGGCCCCCCCATCCCCCAGGTTAGAGGCCTGGGTACCCCAGTACAGTCCTGGTCTCAGATGACCTCTTGGGCTCCCCATGGAACCCAGGATAGAGAGAGGCGAGGCCTGGACTCAGGACAGCACTGACCCCTCAGAAGGGGCTCGAGGGGCCTGCTGTGTCCTGGGCTCCGAGGACTCCTGGGGATCCACAATGTCTGCTCAGTTGCCATAAGACATCACTCTCTGGGCTAAGAAGGCTTTTCCTGTTGCCTTCTAGGTACAACTAGAATTTTCCGAGGCACTGTTAAGTACCTCTCAGTCTCGCAAAGCAATACCTTGACCCATTCCTCATTTAGACGCCTTATGAGGTCGCAGGGGCACGCCAGCCGCCGGTTTTAGCGGGCCTGCGAGTTTCCGATGAGTGGAAGCCGGGGGCCCGCTGTCCGAGAGGGCTGTCTGGACGTCTGGTCACCTCCAGGGATGGTGCCACGAAGTGGTTTTACACGGGCACACGTGGTGGACCACAGCTCAGTGTCAGCATCACGTCAGGCCAGAGGCCTGTGTGACTGGCTCCTTGGCCACGCTGGGTTTGTTGGTGCCATCTGACCCAGCCTGCAGTACCCCTGAGCTGACCTGGGTGGAGAGGGAACCCCAGTTGGAAGCTGTGGGATCCCGTGGCCACTCTGTGGACGTCTCCCGAGCAGGCCTCCAGGCAAACAGCTTGATGGAGGATAATGTGGTGTCTGCAGTTTGAGAAGCACTCTGTGCCCTCTGGAGCCAGGGAAACGCAGGCAAACAAGCGTGGCTTGGACACGCCCACGCGGGGTTGTCCGGAGAGCCTGGAATCGGGGAATGCAGCGCCTGTCCGGGAACGTGAAGCCGGACACCGGGGCTGGGAGGGAGGGTGCCCCGGGCAAGGCAGGTGCTGCTGCAGCACCGCACTGGGCCATAGCACCACGGACAGCGCCACCGCCTGCCAGCGGCCTTCCAGGGCCACCCAGCGGGGAGTTCCTGCGGGGCTGACCAGGTGTTAGGGGAGGACACCTGATCCGCAGCCCCCGCCCCTGGGGTTAGGTGACTCACATCTCTCTAGTCCAGATGCCTCAGGCCTTGTCTGGTGGACTGCAGCCTGCTGGGGGGACAGGCCGCCTACCTTCGCAGCACACCGTGTGCCCTGAGTGTCCAAGGGCGGAGGACATCACCGGAGGAGGGGCTCAGCTCTGTCAGAGATGAGAAAGCAGTTTTACCCCTTGGGGAGTCCTCAGGAACAGAGGCCGCCCCTGTAGCCCTGTGGATGTTTGGGGAAGTCAGGAGGGGCGGAGCGCCTGGGATGGAGCCAGCAGGTGGGGGGGGGGCGCCATGGAGCAGGGGAGGCCGTGGGCGTGGCAGGAGGGAGGGAGGCAGCGCTGGGGCTGGGGAGGGGGCCCAGTGAGAGGAGGTGAGGATCTGAGCTAGGGGAGAGCAGGGAGGGAGGGGTGAAGGCCAGTCTCCCGGATGCCAGGGCTGTGTTGTTCAGGGAATAAAAGACTTGAGCAGTCGTCAGGCAAGGAGAAACATCTGGGCCGGGGAGCCCTGACTCTCTCACACACCCTACCCCCCGCGTGGACGAGCAAGGCAGCGTGGCCCTCGCTGCAGTCAGGGCAGGACTGAGGGGCCTGCGGGCCGGCAGGAGGCACTGGCAGGCACGGGGGCAGGGCGTTGTGCCAGTCACAGCAGAACAGAAGGAGCTCGAGGGGGAGATCCAAGGTGACGAGGCCAGAAAGAAAAACTTATCGGAGGATTTCACGCACGGCAACCAATCTAAGAGGAAGCGGAATTATAATTAGCGGACGCTGACAACCAGACTGGTTTCTGGGGCCGGAGGCGGGCAGGGAGGAAACGTAGGAGAAAAGAAACCTAAGAATTCTCTTCCCCGCCTTCTCTTCCTGTTGCCTTCCTCCCTCTCTGCAGCGTCTCTGCCTTTGTCTCGGCCACACGGGCTCCAGGTCAGGCTTGCCGGCTGCTCTCTAAGGGGGGCTGGGCCGACGGGCAGGCGCCCGCTGGGGGTGCTGCCGAGCTCAGAGCCGGGGTGGACGCGGGCCGGTGCTGTGGGTGGAGACTGGTGAGATGCAGGGGACCTCAGGGAGGTCCATCCGGCCCGGCCCGGGATGGAGTGTTCGGGATGGAGCCGCTGAGCGCTCGTGTGTGGAGTCAGCGTTCGGGATTCCAGCGTTTTCAGGTCTCCAGGATGCCGGGTCAGCGCTTTCAGCCCCCGCCATGCCCCTCTCCCAGGAGGCTGGCGCGGGCTCTGAAGGCCGTGGAGAGGCTGCCGGCAGCCAACCCCAGAGAGGAAAAGTTTGGGAACTTTGCAGGTAGCCGAGCGACAAACTGCTCCGGGCTTGGCTGCTCCCACAGCCTGGCAGGGAGGGGCAGGCCCGGGGCGGTTGGGCCGCTGCAGCTGCCCTTTGAGTGCTGCTTGTCGGCGCTGCGCTGGGGCCTCGCAGCTCTGGGAGTGTCTCCTGCTGTGTCTCCTGCTGTCTCGTGAGTTGGATCCCGATCTGTACTCTGACTGTCCCGCGCGCCAGGTCCTTAGTGGCTGGAAGACGTCGTCTTGGGAGCCTTTGGTTTAGGACTTTAAAACACTGGGCACTGCTCTGGGTGAGGTGAACGGCCCCTTGTGGCCTCAGTGACTTTGCTTTCCCTGCTTTGTTAAATAAATCCCATTAACGTTGTTCTCTGACCCTGAGTGGTCTGGCAATTGTGCGTGTGGGTGAAGAACTCAGACAGTGACCGGTGAGCTATTTGGGCATGTCCTTGGCCAGTTTTAGTCACCACCCCCCGCCCCCCGCTGCCTGTTCTCAGTTCCTTACAGAGAACACCGTCCCCTGACACGAACATCCAGCATTCGGGGGGCAGCTCTTCCTCCTGCTCTCCGCCCTCCCATCCGGAGCATGCTTGTGGCCCCCAAACCCTGGCATCTCCCCGAGTTACCGTCTGAACAGCCAGGGGGCATCTGTCCTCGGGAGCAGACTTCAGCCGGGGGGCAGGGTGGAGCCAAGACCCCTCCCCACAGTTTTCTCCGAGCTCAAACCCAACCCTGGGACCGGGCTCAGTTGCCCTCTCTCTGCCCGCGAGTTCCCAGGGGCCGCCTTGCTACGCCCCCTCCCGCCTGGGGCTGCCCCCTGACCTCAGCCTCCAGTTCTGCCCTGATGAGGCACAGGGCAGCTGAGCAGGAGGGGCTATGGGCAGCCTGTCTGCAGAAGTGGCCACCTTCCTCCAGTGACCCCCGGTGACCCCTGTCAACTCCTATCGGCCTTTCCTTTGTCCACTCAGAATCCCCTCTGGCCCCCGGGGCCCTGTCGCACAGCCTCTCTTTGCTGGACTTGAGCGGGGCCCACACCCCCCGCTTCCCACCACAGCACCTGCTTCCCGGGGTCCCCCCATGGACAGCCCAGTCCCCTTCCCCCCTCTGCGCCCCCACCGTCCCCGGGGGAGCTCACGTGTCAGCCCGAGGACAGCGGGGGAGCCACGTCTTTTCCGCTCAGCCTTTTGTCCTGTTCACACCCTCAACTGTGGGACCAGGCCACCCACGCGGCGGGGCTGTCTGCCTGACTCGGTCTAGACAAGGGGCTCCTCCTGTAAGGGGCAGGAATGGGCACAGGGCAGGGTCTCTACGACCCGAGCAGACGAGGAAGGAGGAGAGCCCTGGAGCCCGCGGTGGCGTTTCAGGCTTTTATGGGGATTGACCAGGCACGCGGCAGGCAGGGGTGCCGGGGGGCCAGAGGCTGGCAGGCTCCCAGCCCCCAGCAAGTCTTCACTGTCTGGGCTCCCCGGCCTTCTCTCAGCTTCTCTCTCCTTCTCTGCTCTCATGATTCCTCCGTTTGTTCTCTCGTGGTTCTGCTACTGCTGGCGCCCCCGAGACGCCGCCCTTATAGGCCCAACCTTAGCCCGGGTGAACCCCATCTACACAGGCCCACACCCCCTCCAGGGGCCGCCATCAGGCCTGACTCAGGACCGCAGGGTCCAGCAACAGTCCTCATGGCGGGAGGGCAGAGAAGCCCGATATCATTTACTTACCTACACAGCCTCATGGACACACCCAGAACCGTGTTAAGCCAAACACCCGGACCCCCACAGTCCGGGGAGGGTAACACATAGTGAACCACGAGGGCCCCCTGGAAAAGGTGGGGCAGGTGCAAGATGCTGACACGGTGCCTCGCAGGGGGGGCAGCCATGCCCACGAGTGCCCACGAGTGTCCCGCCCACCTCCCTGCCCGCCCCCGCGGCTCACTCACACTGTCCTGCCCGCTCAGGTCATTCCAATCCCGACTGTCAGAAGAAAATGGGTGGAACTGCCGGGTCAGCAAAACCCCTTTCCTGGCTGCCAGGCCTCGCCCACGCGGTGACGACGCTAATTAGCACCATCCGTCAAGCGCGCCCCAGCTCGGGACCTGCTGAAAGCCGACCGCGCTCTCAGATTTGATTTTGTTTCAGTGACATTCTCCACTTTTCCCTGAAGAAAATGGGGCCGGAAAGTCATTTCCATCACGGCTGACTAGCGGAATCCAAGGGTGATATTTCAGAATATTCACCTTTCGCTGATAAAACCCCATCTCTGTCAAGTCTAATACAAATGAAACATTACATGTTGCCTCTGCCATCCCGGCCTCCTCAGGCTCTGGGCTTGCGTGAAATAAAGATGTTTAACGGCACAGCGGCAGGATTCCTCCCGTTCAGCCGTGGGACTGGGTGCGGGCAGCTGCCTTTTACCGGGGTGAACACAAAGGGTTAAATTCCATTCTCCCGGATTCTGGAGGACTGGGGGGTGGGGAGGCGGGGGGGGGGGGGGGGGGGGGCTCTCCACCTGCCAGTGATGAGCAAGAGAGACCAACTGCTCTGGAGCCTGCAGGGTGAAGGGGTCTCCGCACGAGGCTGAGGTGGGGTGGGGGTCCCGCCCCTTCAGCCCCCGTCTCCGGTGAGCCTCACAAAAGGGGCTGCTGTGTCTGCCCGCCATGGAGGGTGCGGCACCCCACCGTGGGTGCAGCCTCCTCCAGGTAGTAGGAACCCCCCACAGGCACCCCTGGTTTAGCTCTTGTTATCCTCTCCTCTGAGAAGATGCTGGAAAACAGGTGCTTCGTGGATCCCAGGAAGAGGGGTGCTTCAGGAGCGTCACCTGAGCCGGCTGGAGGTGGCATGGCCACCGCCGTCAGAGCAGCTGGGGCGGGGGGCGGGCACTTGGAAAGGTCAGGGGACCCAAGAGCTGGGCGAGAGCAGAGCATGAAGGGCCCAGCCTGGCCCTAAAGACAGAGGCTCTCGCCACCCCAGGGCACCTCGCTTCCGCCTGCTCCTGTGGGTCCCTCTGCAGAGCTTGGGGGGCGGGTGGCGGCGGCGGAGTTCAGAGTCCAGCGCACAGGCTGGAGCCTGGAGTGGCCGCAGGCGGGGGCAGGAGCTCTGGATTGGGCAGACGGGCAAAGGAGCCTCCTGGAGTCCTCAGTGGCTTTTTTTTAGGCATTTTATGATCTTTCTACACCACTTGTAGTGCGGCAACCAGGGCCAGGGTGGGCGGGGGTGTGGGGGGGCAGGAAGCGGGCAGGGCTCCCAGCCCGGGGCAAACCTTTGCTATTTGGGCTCGCTCTTCCGTTCTCTCATTCTCTCGTCATCTCCCCGGCACACTTCACCGCACCAGCCGCTGCCACCCTCACAGCCTCAGCCTAAGGCTCAGGCGCGCCCACCCACGCACGCCCGCTGTAGGGTAAGGGAAAAAGTATCAGGTTTTCTGCCCTCCTGCCATGAGGATGGAAGATGGATCCCTGCGGTCCTGAGTCATGCCTGATGGCGGCCCCTGGAGGGGGGCATGGGCATCTGTAGATGGGGTTCACCTGGGCTGAGACTGGGCTTTCAAGGGCGGCATCACGGGGACACCAGCAGAAGCCGAGAAAGAAGCAGAGGAGCAGAGAAGCTGAGAGAAAAGCAGAGCCATGAGAAGAGCAGAGAGAACGCGAGAGAAGGCCGGAGAGCCCAGAGTGAAGACTTGCTGGGGGCTGGGAGACCTGCCAGCCTCCCGGCTCCCCAGCGCCCCTGCCTGCCGTGTACCTGGTGATCCTAATAAAAGTCTGAGAAGCCACCGAGGGCTCCAGGACTCCTCCTTCACCCCGTCTGCTGGATCAGAAAACCTGCTCAGTGCCCCTTCCTGCCCACTACACCCGCACATGCCCAGGTGTCCCGCACGGTGCCCGTGCCCAGCTCCACTGCGCCTCCTGCGTTCAAGGCCACAGGTGACGGCTACAGAGGCCAGTGGTGCAGAGGCCTGAGCATCTTCATTTACCCCTCAGAGCCCCTAGGAAGCCTGGAGATTGGG